AAATTTGGCTCGAATCGTAAGAAATTGAGATGTAAAGGAGCATCATTTATTTATTTTCTTAATTTAACTATCATTTAGTTTACTTTTCAAGAACAATTGTATTCTTCCAAATATAAAATACAATATGTGGGACTAAAAATTAGGTAGGTGCAGATGGGGCAGGACACGGGCATGCGCTAAACTTTGGAATGTTTACATACATACTATCCAATTCTCATTTGTGTACATATCCAACACCTACAGGCAAAATAAGAGGCTCGGGGGGAATGACGAGAAGATGATTTTATAAGCAGTTACATGCATACTAGCCCGAAATATATATATATATATTATATATATATATATACATATTTTTTATAGTTATATCACCAAAATAATTTCTTAAAAATAATAAAATTTAGTATTTTTAAATACAATATAAACTTAATATAACCAAATATTATTTTTTAATAATTTAATTATTTCAAGCAAAAATAAATCAAAAGTGGGTTGAACAAACACTTGTTTGTGTTCTATTTGTTCATAATTTGAGCTAAAAAAAAACGTTCGAGTTCGACTTGCTTGCTTAACGAACGAATCTAACATAAATTATTTAACAAGCCGAAGATGAGTTGTTCATGAACCATAAACTTTTTTGACAACCATAGTCCTCAGCCATCTTCTCTCAACTTCTCCCACAAAGGCAAAAGTGGTCAATGTAACTCAATTCTCTAATGAACAAGATAATCTATATATAATCATTTCCACTCTTATCAGCAAGTTTTTAGCAGCCACTAAACTTCCTCCTCCAGAAAAGCGAGGTGGCCTCATGCTCTAAAATAACTTTAACTATTTGTTCATTTGGCCTGCTCCACTAGAATTGGCCTGAAAGTGAGAGTTCTTAATCATCTGGGTCACTGCAGTCATAACTCAACAAAAGCATCGGTATTGATACAAATATTTTGATGCATCTCAATTTTTACAGCATCATCAATGACACCTTTCTGATCCATAATTCTATAATAAAGGCAAAACAATGTATTCAGACTAGGTTAAACTTTTAAGTTATATTCTTTATAACTTAATTCAATCATTATATTGTGTCTTTCATTATGGTTCATATTGTTTAATCTAGACATATCTCTGATACCACCATTGTCACCACCCGACGCGAGCTTAGATTTAATTAAGATTGGAACAAATGGTCAATCAGTGAAATTAAGTTCTAATTATTTTATTTATATCACTAACAATTTATTATCCACATATTACTTGATAAATCCAATGAAGTAAGCAATTAAATTGACCAAATAAAAAACTTTCTTCAACTTGTGGACCACTTCTTATGTAAATATTATCTTCTCTAGTACTCATTTTAATCAAAAGCTTAAACCTAAAGAAAATATTAAAATGACATAACGAGTTATCTATGATAACCAAGGAGCTATCACAATTCTAAATTACAATAACTCAACGAAAAAAAATAATATGCGTGTTGTTCTTTCATATTTTGCTCTAAAAGATCTTATAATAGCTTAATATATGTGTCTATGACATTTATTTAATAGAAATAACTTAAACTTCAATATGCATTAATTTTAACCATACTTCTCAAGGTTTAATCCTTAACTTTACTCTTACATAATGACATTAACATTCACATCTATCTTATAAGCACTATCAAAACATAACTTAATTCATCTCTATCTGATATTATCCGTCCCACAAAGTGGGTCGTGATTAAATTTATATGATTTTCTAAAGTGGAAAGATGTCCACTCGCCTCTGCTCGATATTCTCCCATTGAAATAGTGGTTAGCGATATAAAAATCATAATTTTTGGGGTTGGTAGGACACAATCTACCCGTGCGGGTACACTATTCTCCTTCTTCTACAGCATAAGGGAGTGAATTTTTCTGAGCATGCATATACAAACATTCATATATACATTGTTCATTATTCATATCATTTTTTTATGAAACACTTTACCTCTATCCACTTATGAATAAATACAATATTATTAAATCTATAAGTCATGAAATAAAGTGATATACGCACTTATATTGGACTCTTCAAGCCATGTAATAATTTATATATATGCACATCTATTATAATTTAATTGTTATTCAATAACCTAATAATTTTATAAGAAA